TAGAATTATTTCTTTTCTCTGTTTTATCAGGAGAGCCGCCCAAGCAAAACTGTACTTTTCCCCACAAAGCCCAATGCATCATGTCTGACTCATATTCGGTATCTATCAGGTATAATTAGTGAAGCAAAGACCTTCTTCCTGACAACCTACCTCAAGGAGGATAAGGGCTGAAGGATAGTCTCTAAAATTATTGGCTTAGGAGGCTAGAGACCAAGAGCTCCAAAATATCCAGAGCTGAGTCAGAAATTAAAGCTCTGCAGAAATGTGTGGGATTCTACATTGCTAGGGGAAAAGACTATTTTTGAAAGCCCCAAATGACTTGGTTTGTTCCAAGATTCAGCTAACATGCTTAATCACTGAGAGGTTTTCGGATTCTAAGATACCCTGCCATGAAGATGTCTAGACAGGAAACAAGGCAGACCCAGGAGCTATCCAGCAGCATTCTGCTGTGCTCCAAAGAGTCAAAATAGGAAGCATGAGATCCACTCACCTGCATGAATTTCAGGCCAACAAGGCGGAATCCCTTCTGTTCAAAACGCTTGATGATCTCTCCCACGAGCCCCCGCTGGACCCCGTCAGGCTTGATGGCAATGAAGGTGCGTTCAGTGTTGGCCATGGTCCTAAAGAGAGGCAAGCAGGGCAGTGAAGCAGGACTAACTCTCTACCCTCATCACGATCCTTCTCAAGCGGATTAGTCTCTCATAAAACTGGCTTTGCTATATTATGTCTACCCCAAGTCTCTCTAGTAAAATCCCAGTCCCTGTCCAGTTCACTCAGCAATGGATTATGATCCCGAAGTAGCCAAGGGCTCAAAAGCTGGAACTATAATTTCTATTCCACTTGATTCCATAAGCTCCGATTGACCTTCAACTGTGTACTTAACACTGCAATGGAACTAAAGGAGATGCAAACCTAAGACCCACACATTAAAAAGACACCACTTTTTTTTTTTTTCAGTAACATCAGGAGAAACCGCATAGATATGGTTTTCCTAGTGAAAGTCACAGCTGGTACAAGACAGTGTGAGCTACAGCATTAGAACGCTATGTCATGGCAACCATCTTTGTTTTACAAAGAATGAGCTTGCCCAGCCCTATGCAATCTGGGATACACCTTAGGGTGTAATGAGAAAAAACAAGTCTGAGAATGCATGCCAGTAAACCCACCACTAGGAAGGCTAAGGCAAAAAAGGACAGAGGATTCCAGGCTGTCCTGGGGGGAGGGGGAGAAGGAAGAAAAAGAGGAAGAAGAGGAAGAGGAAGAGGAAGAGGAAGAGGAAGAGGAAGAGGAAGAAGAAGAAGAAGAAGAAGAAGAAGAAGAAGAAGAAGAAGAAGAAGAAGAAGAAGAAGAAGAAGAAGAAGAAGATGATGATGATGATAGAGCTGAGTGTAGTGGGCTAGATGTGGTTCCCCATGTCAGTGGTCCCAACCTGAACTGAGCTACATAAGAGATGCAATGACTATGCTTCATCATGGATGGGGAGGCACTCATGAGGCCCATGGCCTTACCCCTGCCTGGGGAGCTACTGCTGATTGATGGTTGTGGGTGAGTGGGTATCATTTTCTTCACTGGTGCAGCCAAGAGTAAACTGTCCATGGTTCAGCAAATAATTCCTCCATCCACGAAGCAAGCAGCTCTAACTCGCTCTCACTCTCGCCCACTCTCACTCTCGCCAGCACCCACACACATACATGCATGAGAAAGAAATCCAAGACATGAAGGTGGGAGGGGACCTGGTGGGAAGGAGTTCGGCAGGAGAGCTGAAGAGTGTAATGGGGGAAGGCTAGTACACAGATGCACAAAATTGTCAGAGAGAATAAAGGACAAAAACCATGAAAGTCCATTATGTAAGAATAGCGGTTAGCATTTATTAAACCGTGCATTAGGGGGAAAGTGCAGTGTGCATTGTGACTAGCCACAGCACAATACCTGACACGGGACATTGTCACTGGAGGAAGACACCTGGAGAGTATCCGTTCCAGAACCTTCCTTTTCCAGGGAATACAATCACACAAGATGAAAGGAGACTCCACCTTGAAAGACAATACCTAAGAGGATAGCGACACTAGCTCCTGGCTCTGCCTTGGTGAACTTGAGTTAACCTTTAATTTTATACCTTAAGAATGGGGCCTGAGCCAACTAGATGGTTCAGTGGGCAGAGGTTTTTGGACCACAAGCCTGAGTTTGGGCCCAAGCCCGCTCCACAAAGTGATCTTCTGGTGTTCACATGGATGCTAAGGCATGCATGCACAAGAACACACAAATAATAATACATGATCTTTTAATGATCACCGCTGTCCTCCCCTCTCCCACCTCCAAGGTCTGGGACCTGCAACAAAGAGTTGATCTATTCCATCCCCTATCTTTGATACCAAGCCATGGGGCCTCACAGTCAACAGGAGCAAAGAGGATGTCTCAAATGTTCAATTCTGCCTTCCAAAGAGAGACAGAACCGGAAGACTAGCTGGAGAATCTCTGAACGAGATGTGGAGAAAGCACAGATTCCTCAGAAATGGCCTACCATGTCAGAAACAACCCCTATAAAAGGTTCTGCACACCGATCGATCACACACACATACACACACGCGCATTCATTCATTCATTCGGCAAGCACTGTGGGAGCTCCAGCTCTGTGCCCAGCACCGGGCTGGAAGATGAGTAAGACACAGTCCTGCTGGCGCAGTCTGACAGGAACTGCGGCCACAGACAAAGGCGAGCACACACGTGGCGTGTCAGGCTGACAGGTCTGCACCTGCCCACACCCTAGCCCGCGATCTTCTTCTTCAGCGCCTCCCAGAGAAAGCACCCTTCCCTTTATTTAACACCCACCTCGCTCTCCGCCCTCCCAGGCCCACGACCCGTCCCTTGCTCTCAGCACCCGAATCCCTCTCACCCCTTCAGAAGCCAGGTCTCTCCCTCCGGCTGAGACTGCCCGCACCGGAAACGCGCCCTGGGCTCACGTGGTTCCCAGCAGCTGCTCGCGCGGAACCTTTCGGTCGGTAGTTCCGATTCCGGAGAACCCTTTTGGCAGAACACCGCCAGGCCCCGCTTCCTCTGGTGAGTAGGGTGTCATCCTAGGGAGCACTCTTCCAGTGTTTAACTTCCTTCCGACACTGGGTGTGGCTTTTGTTTTCGTTACTCCCTTCCCCCCCCCCACCGCTGGCAGCCATGTTTTGTTCCTGTCCTGCTGTCGGGTGACTCACTTCCTCCCGAGAAAATTTGGTTTCCCGGGAGGTGGCGCTCACACTGCGTGAAGTCCAAACTCGAGCCCCCGTAGGACTGTCACTCCAGCTCCCCTTTGACCTGTCGAGCAACAAATACAGTAAATACTATGTACGTAGCAGGCACCATTCTAGAACTTAGGGATAAAGCAGTGAGCTCACTTGAGGCTTCTGGTAGGGTTGAGAATTGGGACAAACAATAAAAAGAAATTGACAGTGAATACACAGTGTTACGTAAGTGCTGTGAAGAAAGAATAGGGCAGAGGGAAAAAAAGGCTGAGCAATTTCTGCAGAGTTATAATCAAATAGACCTACATGAAGTTTAGTTATAAAGGAACAAACCTATTATTACCAGAGAGCTGGGAATTGCAGTGAGCACTGAGTGGTAGGAAACACAGGAGGAGAATTTTGTTGTTGTCGTGGGAGGATTTTTTTTTTTTTTTTT